GAGGTTGATGTAATTATTATTTAGACAGCTAGTAACTGTAAGCACGGCTCCAAGAGGCATCTCATTTCCTTCTTTTTCCTAATGATTCCTGGCCTTTCTTAACTGGAAATGAAAAAAGGAAATTGGTGTGTACTCTTCGGCTGCTTTTTAAATTGGCTCTGTTGGATAATTATGTATGCTCACCGAGATTGTAGAATTCATGTGCAAGTCTTTACTATTTTGTCATTTCGGGTTGTGGAGTTTTATTAGAGCAAACAGATGTAGTGAAGTAGCACTTATCTCTACTTTAGATCTTAAAAAATATATCACTGTTTCAATTATTTACACATTTAAGCTTATTTTCCTGATCTCGTTTGACACACAGTCAGAACGGTGCCGCAGTAGTTAGGCCTGTCCCCTCGCAGTGAGGAAATACTTGCTGGCTTCGACTTTGTGGCTGGCTAAAGCCTTTTTGGTGGAAAGTTTACATGTTCTCCCTGTGGGTGCGTGGCTGTTCTCCAGTTCCCTCCTGACGTCCACTAACATGCATGTTAGGTTGCATTTCTAAATTTGTGTGGTATTTCTCTCTGTGTTAGTTGGATGTGAGAACTCCACCTTTGCCCAGTGTCTGCAAAAATATCCCAGTGTAAACCTGGTAAGATGAACAGTAAAGTAAGTGAATGGATGGCTATTGGACACAGATGACCCTTTAAATGATTGCAACAGAACCAAAACCACAAAAAAAAAAAATTCTAAAATGTCCTTCTTTGTTGGAATAACTGGTTAATATCAAACAGCTCTAAGCTACTTTCATTCCAGGGATCTAAGGCTTGTAAAGAAAGGTGCATCACCCCAGCTCCGCAGTTCAACCAGCTCTTATCACATCTCATCAGCCTGTTAAGTCACTGGTCCATAAAACTGTCTCAAGTGTGATACACCATCATCACATCACACCCTAATTTTCTCGAAAAACATCTTACAGCTGAACAAGCGTGCTTTGCAATGCATAACCAGAATGCAACGATGAATTAGGCACCGGGGGACACATCTTACTCTTGCCGCTTACCCACAACTGCAATCACCAAGCCAGCCCGAGCAGAGAGGAGCTGTCTCTTGACAGCAAAGTGTTGCGCACTTTGTGATGTCAAGTTCCTAATTCGCTCACCAACATCAACTCATAACAAGACAGCATGCAGCGTTTTAAAGTGCGCTTTCACATGGACGGTGTTTGCTTATTATGCAAGCGAGTTAGTCAATCTGGAGAACAATGCTGAATTTGGATAATTGGGTGGCGTGTGTGTTTATGAGTGTAGGAGTATGTCTGTCTTGACTGTACGTCTACAAGAACTCGCAGAATGCAAAATGACTCCCAGAGCTGCCTTTGTCTCCCTCGGGCCTCAAAGACTTCCCAAGCTGAACAGCTCAAGCTAGGCTGCCTCCCTCTCAGGGTCCAGACTGGTTAACAAGCAGCAAAATAAAAGCCAGCAAGTTAAATTGTATGTAACTTTTTAGTTTGCACAAATAGTGTGACCTTTATTGATTTCTTGTCTCTGCCGTCAGCCTGGTAAAACACTAATGGCATTGGTCAATAAAAAACCATGAAGTGGAAGTTCTCAATACCCCTCCCCCTGCGCTGACCATATCCCTAAAAATAGCCACTCAGCCTCCCTCAGAGGCCACTGAGCCCGAGCCATGACAGCTCACTACCCTTATTCAATATGAGCTGTACTGTGTCCCTGTTTGTTTCCCCACTGCAGATGTAAGCGGGCTGACACGCTGAGCCATATGCCAAACACATCTACTTCGATTCCTGTCCCTGCCAACTCCCATTCAGATGGCCAGAGAACCCTGCCTCTTTTAATCAATAAATTAATAACACTATGAGTGGAGCATAAAATAAGACTTTGACTTTGGTGCGCAAATTGAAAACAAACAGCAGCTTCAGCAACTCTAACTTACATGGTGTTCTGGGACCTACTGCTTCAAAGAGTAACATTCATTTTTCAAAATGCCTTGTGTCTATGTAGTCACCACCCGCCGTTTTATTGACTGGTATGTGTCAATGTGTACCCCTGCCAGCTTACGTCTTTCTCTCTATACTTGCGCTTATTGAACTTTGCAAAAATAAATTATACGAGCAGAATTCAATAAAGTTGAAATGACCTCCACTTCTCTCCCAGAGAAAACAGCCATCTTCTCTTTGTAGCCCATGTTTTTTCTCCAAACTTCTCAACGCTGAACTTTGTTGACCAGTCTGTTTCTGCTGCACGTTAGGCCCTTCGGAAGTGAGACTCGCCTAGCTTTTCAGGTGCGCCGCGGAATTCAAAACAACAGGGGCTGCTGAAGGCGGTTCACTTACACAGTGATGCAGATATTCAGAAGTTAAAGTTCTGGGAGAGCACCCCTGTGGTGCCGTTCCTCCACAATGAGAGAAGCAGCAGCAGCAACAGCCAGCAGTATCGATTCACCTCGCAGCCTTGAGCCTGCTGTCACAGGCAGTATATCACTTCATTTAACCCACTGTTAAATAGGCTGTAATTAGAAATCTGTCCTGCAGATGTGTTTTATTTAAAGGATGGTTTGTGGCTAAGTTGCAAAACTACCTACTCTGTTTTGCATTAGTTTTGTTGCTGGCGTTCTTTTGTTCAGCGTTTCATTTTCACGAAGGATTTGAGTGCTATTGACAGAGTCTGCAAAGAGAAAGCAAATGATGCAAATAAATCCCCTCTTGGGGGATTAGTCTGCATGCTATTTGAAAAAAATATGGTAAGTCTCTTAATTGTAGTTAATGCTTGTTGGTCTCTCGACTCAATCTGATGACAATAAACTGTTTTTACAGCCAGCATTTTAACTTTGAAAAGCACAGGTGAAGTAAAATCCTTTAAGTTTCCATGTAAGCCGTGACAACAAGCCCGGCTGCACACAGATCACAGATTTTGTATCAACAGTTTTGTTGTATATGTGCAATGACAATAAAGAGCTATTCTATTCTATATCAACAAGCTGATATTATTGCTCTGTATGTTGATCCAACAAAAAGCTCTTTGCCTAGTTTCCTTGTGGTTACTATTCTTTCAAAGATTAATCATAAAATTCTGTCTTTTGGATGTTGTATTATGAATTCGTTGTGGTGAGGAAGAACAAGAAGTTCAATGCTCACTTATTTGTCTACAGTAGTTGATATTTTGTCATTTTATTTGCTGAAAATTGGCTATTGAAGAAGAGGGTCTGTATCTTTCCACGCTCTCTCTACAATACTCGCATGCCTAAGCTCATTAAAACTGTACATGCAACTTACAATGAAAGCGTTGAAAGTGTTATTGATCCCTGCATTCATTCCTCCTCTCAGCACCGGCTGTAAAGTGATCTCTTTCAGAGCAAGTAAATGAACGGGGGAAAAAATCCACAGTCTTTGCTCAGTGCAGAAATCCTTTTTCAGCTCAGAGACCTAATATTAAGATTCGGGAACCCAAATTAGCCAAATGAAATGGCGATCTTCTAAAGGTACATTTTAATTAGAACAAAAGTTCTGCTGAGCTTTTCTGTGCTGTGATAACTTTGTAGGCACAGAAACAGAAAAATGGAATGTCTTACTAAAAAGCCAATCTTTGATTATTTGATTTAAGAACAACCTTTGGATACTGTTACAGTGCCATTAATTCAAATACATGGTAATGGCCTGCACCATAGCACTGTTTAACCTTCAGCTGTTTTAATTTAGAGAAAAGAAATAAATAAATGTGTTTTTTACCCCTCCTGATGGTCCTTTAAAGACAAAACAGTGTTGTGGACACCAGAGGGTTCATTCATTGTTTACACACTGAGAGATTGACAGCTGGCTTCCACATTTAAAATTTTAAAATGTGATCAAACTTTAAGAGAAGATATTTTATAAATTACAGCTAGAAATATGCGAGCGTAAATAGTCAGGCTATTCTGCTGCAGACTTGCATACTGGGGCGCTTAAACAGAACAGAGCTGTCATTATTGTAATTGCTAACACCTGTGTTTTCCCCACTGTGAATGTCAGCTGTGGGAAATAATCTCTTGAGTAATTTTCTTTGTGCTGCTACTTTCACTAAAGTAAAGGTTTTGCCTTCAGTCTTGACAGTGATTGAAAACAAAACAAAAGCAAATCCATCTTTAATGTTTTGATTTTTTTTTGTTCTGGTTTTTTTTTTTGCCAAAATGTCTTTCTTGAGTTGAGCTGAACCCAGCTACGTGGGGCCACAAGAGAGTAGGGAACATGTGGAAGAGAGGCTCGACAGGTGGAGGTATGCTCTGGAGAGAAAAGGAATTTAATTGAGTAGAAGCAAGACTGACTACACGTGTGGATATATGAGGGAGACTGGTGGAAAGGTGGATCATTGATAGTCAAGGTGGAGGAGTGTAAATACTTGGGGTCAGCCATCCAAAGTGACAGACAGTGGACAAGAGAGGTGAAGAAGAGAGTGCAGGCAGGGCGTGATTTGTGACAGAAGCATAGCAGCAAAGAAAGGGAAGGTTTGCAAGATGATAGTGAGACCTGCTGTAATTTATGGAGGAGGCAGAGCTAAAGATGTTAAGATTTTCAGTGGGAGGAACCAGAATGGACAAAATTAGAAATTAGTACATCAGAGGGACAGATCACGGTGAGCTGTTTGGAGACAAAGTGAGAAAGAAAAGGGTGAGACGGTTTGCACATGTGGAGAGGAAGGATTTTGGACAGTGGATGTTGAATATGGAGCTTCCAGGCAGGAGGAAAAGATGGAAAATATGAAAACCTCAGAGAAGGTTCGTGGATGTAGTGAGGGAGGACATGCAGAGGGTTGATGTGACAGAGGAGAATGCTGGGATAGGGTGGGATGGAGGCAGATGATCCGCTGTGGCGACCCCTAAAGGAAGCAGCCGAAAGAAGTCTTTTTTGAGTTCGAGTACATCATAAACACCACTGGGTGTCGCTCTATAGTGTCTCATATCGCTTCTGCGCGCTTATTTCACCAATATCAACCCCCTCTTCCTCGCTGTGTGTGCGTGTGTGTTGTGTGTCGGATAGAAAGTCAGCCTGGTTTCCAGCTGAGTGCTTGCTCTCTCACAGTGTGTGTGTGTGTTGTCATTATTATCCACTCTGCTCCCAGCTCAGAATGGCCAGATTCACTCAGACTGAAACAAGAAGGCAGCACCATCCACAGCAGCCCCAGCCCTCTCACTCCAGCCTGGTTTTCACCGGACCGGGGGCACCACCGACCCAACAACCACTACTACTTATCCCACATCAGCACCAGTACCCTCAGATCACATTTCCGAAACCCATGAACGGGTCAGAACCCATTTCAATTCATCCGGAGAGCGGCAACATGAAAGACCAAGATGCCATTAAACTGTTTATCGGGCAGATACCGCGGAACTTGGAAGAAAAAGACCTGAAACCCCTGTTTGAACAGTTTGGGAAAATCCACGAACTGACAGTTCTCAAGGACCGATACACCGGCATGCACAAAGGTAATGTGTCGCCCCTCGAATGGCTGAGAGGCCCATATGAAGCTTAATATCTGCTTATTAGTATCTGTACGTACTGAACTGATTTGTACTGAAATGCGGATTTTTGTCACTTTTATTTTCATGTTTAATCGGGCTTAATCGCTCAGCTGTCAATCCCCCAAATAATCTGTATCGTTATGCTCATCACTGCTCATATTTCTGTATAACATTCATGAGGTTTGGCATTTTGCTCCAGTTGCTTTTTTTGTGCGTAAGGCAAGTTTTTAGCTTTTTAGTAATTATCAGATTGGTTTGACGCGCTTTTGTATTTCTATCTCTAAATTTCAGTATTTATTATGACCACAAAAAGAAAGATTTGCACATATTTTGAGTGTTTTGAACACGAGGAACAATTCTTCATTTTATTGCCTTTGAGTGTTTCCTTAACACGCTCCTAAGTGGGGCAGAGGCGCTCGGAAAGGATGCATTTTTCAACAGCCTCCTCTTGCCAGTCCCATCTTTTGCGGAGGGGCGGCATCATTTATTCATCCATATGCTTTCTTTAACATCTCCCCATGTGCAAATAGAGCGGGCTGGGTGCAAACGCGACACGGCGAAATCAGTTCAATTCTACAACGTCTCCAAAGGGCGCACGAACTGTCACAAGATGACGGACGTCGCCACGGAGAGTGGGCAGTGATGCTTCTGCTGAAATGGAAGCAGAGGGTGTAAATCCACTCAGGTCACTATACATACACTGACAACTTCCATCTTCCATAATGAAGTTGGCTAGCAAGAATATAGATCACTGCCTGGGTGGGAAAAGCATTTCACGATACAGCCCCCCCCCTCATACCCCGCACCCCCCATCCCCTAGATTCAAGCAGTGCAGACGTCATCATTGTCATCGTCATGACCCGTGAACCCTCACCCAACCTTTAATTTAGACCTGAAGTGCATAACCCCGGAGCTGCACTGGTTTAGCTGATCAGTGACATTCAGGCTTTGACTATAAGCACTGTGATCACTGTTAGTTTCATTGTAACGGTCAGGCCAGTGCACTGTCCACAAAGTTTGCAACATCTTATTCATATAACGACAAAAGGGCAATTGCATACTTAATGCATTTGGAGAACATTTATGGTGATTTCATTGCTGACACATAGAAGTCACAAACAAAAGCATGCAATGGCCTCGACTATCATTTAGTCAAATCCACAGTTATAAAAAACCCTTTCCTTTGTGTTTTTCCACACGTGGATTCTTCATTTCGCAGAGCAGATGCAGATGTGTGAAGGATGTAAGCACAGGAGATAAGCCTTTTATTACAGTGACATTTAGAAAAGACAAATGATAATGTATGACAGTAAACATTACAAACCCTGTCGTGTCATGCATCAAGTCACCATCGCAAGATATTAAATTTGTTTCTGCTACAAAGGTCGTCCCCATCTCCTTCAGAATAATTAATACAAGTCTTTGTGAGGGTTTCAAACCAGGATACAGTTACAGTATATAATAATAATAATAATGTTTGCCACATATTTTATGACGGTCGTAAAGTTGATGTTATTGTTGTGGAAGTCATTTCTTCAGTATTGCACTGATCTGGTTTGCTTTGGATGTGTGTGTTTTTGTGCTTGTGTTCATGCATATACTAAAATGTCATTTCACCCGTGTTGCAGTGATGGCAGTATTTTGGGTCCTGAATGATGTCACCTTATCGTGCTATCAGGGAAAAAACAATTTAGGCTTTCTACATAACATAAACAGCACATTTCCATTACGCATACAAAAACACTGATCTTTGGTAGACATGTATATAATTCAAGTGAAATATCTGACATTTGTCTAGGCCATAAATTTGATATGTCATAATTAGCAATTATTTTGTCAGTTAATACAGTGATAAACTGCTTAACTACATTGTTATTCATTTGAAAAGGTTTTTTGTCAGATTTCCTCGTAGCATTATATTATCATCAATGTATTACATCATTCTTGCCCTGGTGGTAAAGTAGAAGAAGTGGGAAAATGTGTAATTGAGATGTACTGCTTGCTTTCGGTGAGACTCTGTATGATCACCCTCCTCAGTTCTCTTGTCAGTTTGAAATGCAAAACTCAAAAGAGCCTTTCAACAAAGTGAAATCCCTTAAAAATATCCAGTGAACCTTTATATCTGTTCATTGTGCATTATAATTTATTTATTTATTTTGCATTTTACTAAACAAAAAATCTTGTTTTAATGTAGCTGGATAATCCTCTCCTTCTGATCTAGCAAAAATGCTAAAATATGATTCCAAATGCATTTCTCATGTCATTATTTACCCTGAATTTTAACGTACAAACCGCTAATTAATTTTAGATAAGCATAGTTCAGTCAAATTAAATGAGTTTGGATGTAATGAAGCCTTGTTGCACAATTAACAATACAAAATCAAACTCTAATGTGTCAGTGATCCTTGATGAGGTTATTTTATAGTTAATCACGTTATTAAGCAGAAAAAGGATTATGGGGTACGCATCCTGATGGAAACACTGGGCAAGCACCCTCAAAGTGGCACATTCACACTGACAAAGACATCGATGGACAGAGGAACACACGCACATACACACATGCGCACATGCTATTTTCATTATACTAAGTGTTGTGCATTCGTAGCCATTGTGCTTATTCTGTCATTTGGATTTTTTGGATTTCCATTTCATCCACATTGTGCTCTCTGTGTTTATTTCCTCTTTTCTTATGCAACTGTTTTTTCCCCTTGGTAATCCGAGAGGGAAAACATGGAATTAGTTTGTAAAGCGTGATAATAATGCATGGCCATAATAACTTGACTCAAGAGGATTAGCAAATGTGCATTGTCTGAAGCAGCAGTCTCTTGGGTGATCAGCTGGTTGCCTCCCTAAACAGTGGCTGCCTCTGCCAATTAAAAATTCAGTCTAGCCTGCCTCTTCAAATGATTAATTCTGCCCACGCTGTCGATGGCCTGCCAATTATTGTCGCCCAATTGGTATTAATAAGTAGAGGATTTCCTGATGTTGAATTTATCACAGACTATGAAAACTTCTCCCTTTGGCTCTAATTACCTTTGACTAGCACATGCAGAACAAATACATACATGCACATATGCACTTGCATATATCCAGAACCAGTGTTCCTTTTATGCATTGTGCCTGTTATGTTGCTTGCTATATCAAATTCTTTAATTAAAAGTGCAGTTGGGTAGATTATATCATGTGAGTTTCCACAATGCACTCAGATCAGAGAGGAAATGTATAATTTAGCACAACAGGTAGACGCACAGACAAAAAAAAAATCCCTAGGTTGCTCCATTCTGCCGAGTAAGGCTGCCCAGATATCAATACTAAGCTTGTGTTGAGTATTACTGTGTTAATGCATTTATAAATGGAGATATTGCCGTAGACCCCAGCAAGCAGAAGCACATTAAATCACAGAATAATCTAATGAAATATTTATTCAAGTTTTTATTTTTTCCTTCGTCTGAAGCAGTCTGATGGATAGGGTTTCTCTGTAAGTTGTGCTCCTCAAAGAATAAAGAAGGAAGGAAGGAAGCACAGCTAGTTGGAACAAAGCATATTCATCAAACCAGAACTATACATTCCAGTTTTCCTTTATGAAGATGGAGCTTAAAGGCAACAGCACTGGTTAAACCAACCGTTGGTTTGTTAAAGCTGCTTTCTTCCTTTGATATTATGGAAGTACATGCACACATTTCCATATTACGTGTGCCTTATGGAAAGTGTCAAAGATCACGGCACTGCTGTAGGACAGCATCCCTCCTGGGGAAACAGATGGGAAAAATTCGCTTACATCCATAAACAGAGCTGTAGATATGACATGGATTGTACAGAAAGACCGAACTGTGTTAATATTACAGATTTAATAGACAGCTTTGGAACTTATTCCTTTTGACATTATTGCCTATTTACTAATTAAATGAACCAATATCATAAATGCCATGAAAGCTACACTCCGTTCCAGCTGTGCGTGTGACCTCTGAGTCACCTGAAAAACTATTCTCGGTCTCCGTGCAGTTTTGTGCAGTGATTCGATTGAACAAATCTAGAATAAAATCTCCTGTCAGAGTCTAGTGAGCGAAGGCCACCGAGCCAAGCTAATGCAGTAACAACACTCGCCTCGCAATCTTTAAACGTCTGTAAATATTGTAATAAGCAACAGGGCTTTCCTCATAAAAGATGCAGCAGCTCAACGGGTACTGACAGGCGCTATGGGCCTTGACTTCAGGATGAGGAGTGCTGCCTCCCTCTCTCTCCTGCTCTTTTCTGTTGGTTTCCCAAGCAGATTGGCAATCTTAGATGGCAACAAGGCTGCGCTCTGCTGGAGGTTTGTATCTGCTCACCAGGCTCACCTGACTTTTATTCCGTCTCCGCTTCCCTCTCCTTTAATACCTGCCCAGGAGAGCCTTTCAGATGGATTGATTTCCTGCACCAATGCAACATTCATTATTGCTTGCAGTATATTATACTTTCAGTTTGTTGGAAGTGCTGTTACACCATGACCTTTGTGGAATGTGTTTGCTGTAAATGGGTGCCCAGAATGGGAACAGAGATGGGAAAATGAGCAGTGAGGTCTAACTCATTAATAAAACCTCTAATGTTTTTGCATCTCATTAACTCAAGTAAATAAAGGTCTTTGGTCCTTCATTCTACATTTTCTGGACAGTGTTTGTGTTTCAAGGGATGGTGGTGATGCCATGGTGTTTTGAAAAGTTATATTGGTAAGTTGACTGTTTTGATGACAACCTATAATAATAATCGATGCGAGATGGAAGGCGATTTTAATTTGGTAGCACTGTTGATTTGATGAATGCGCTACTGGCTTTTCCCAGAAATTTTAAACGGAAGATTTTTGAGTTGAATTATTTTTGGCTGTTTTGTGGACACATTTCTTTTCTAAAGGTAGAGTTGGCAGAAGCGCGCTGCCTTCCTGCTCAGGCTCAAAGGTCAGAGCTATTTTCTTAGTCTAAATAGAGGGA